CACTGCCAGCAGGTGCACAGATTTGCTTTTCAAATCAACATTCTCGCCTTTGTTTAGGTCCTCCTTCAACTCCTTTCGTGCTTTCTCATTGGCAGCTTTTCTGAATATCCCTTCAGTGGAAGGTCCTTTCATATACAATATAGCTAGGACATCCTGCAGGGAAATAAAACAGACAGGAATGGATGAGTCTTGGTTCAAATCCACCCCCCTCCCAAGCCAGGCAAATATCACTTAGAAAAGACAAAAGCCCATCTATTAGAAAAGCCAGTTCATTGGGAGAATGTCACAAGACTGTTTTTGTCCAGAAGATAGTGCTTAGGTATTTGACAGTATCACTCCATAGCTGAACACTTTTTTTCAGAGAAATACAGAAATCCTTGGAAGTTTATGCTGCTGAAAGATTAATTTAAATTACTTCTGTAGAATCACAGATGTTCATACTAAGGAGCAGATCTTCTCCTATTCCTGGTCCTGGGTTGTTTCCACTCAAAGTTACTTCCAGTGAAAGCTGGGTGGGCTGGACAAAACCCACAAACCCCACCCTTTCTACATCTGGGATGGGCCCAGCGCTTATCAGAATGTTTATTGAGGCGAAACACCAAAATCACTCATCTGGGTGCTGCAGCACGAGCACTAGGGATCTTGCCTCACGCTGGAAGCCAGAGGTGTGATAACTGTATCGACCGGCTTGCTCACCTGGACCGTCTGGGGCAGCGTGTCGTCTTCCCCACAGATAATTTCCAGAGGCTGGCCAAATAGAGCGATTTTGGCACCCGAGTCTAGCTGCCCTGGGGAATTCCCATTGGTAGAGCTTCGTCTCAGAGTAAATGACTGTGATATTACCTTCTTTCTTTTCTTTGTTCCATCTGCTGCAATCAAAAGGAAAGAAAAATTATTTTTTTTTAAAAAGCAGCATGGGCTATGTGGCCTTTCATCAGCGCAGACATGTATGTTGAAACAACTCAATCTAAACCAGGGGAAATTGAAAGACAACTAAGTGGTTACTAAGGAAACACCCGCCTAAACTGTAAAAACGTGACCATCCCTCTAAGGACACCACCTTTCCTGTTTTGGGGTTGGTTTTTTTACATTCTAGTCACTGTTTCTTCTTAGAGAATGGGAACATACAAGACACACAAACAACAGCATTTATAGAGATTTTTGATACTGCAGCGGTTTCTGTGATAACTATCTAAGGCAGATAATGTCACTTGGGCAGCTGGCAATGACAACAATTTTCACTACGCAGCCTGATTTTGCCCCAACCCTAGGGCAAGAGTGGAACTAGGGGCTCCTGCTGTTCAGCCTCCTTCACAGGATGAAATGAAAACACACAGCTCCAGCTCTGCCAGCTTCAAAGCCAGCTCTGATGATAGTGGTCCTGCTAGAGCTAGTGCTTGCCCCCTGCCAGCCAGCCAGTGGAAGGTGATTTTTGCTCCCGAGGATGGGAGCATCACGGCAGGGCCTTGTTGGCTTCAGGGTCAGAAATCTCTTAGCGTGGGTTTTGCATCTGCATCTTAAAGAGGGCATGCTAGAAATTTGGAGATGATGGTTGTATTGGGATGAGATGTGGCTTTTTTCCCCCTTTCAGAAACAGTGAGAGAAGGATCCTTTTGCTAGAAAACTTTCTAAAGCAGTTGCCTTCTGCAAATTTCCTATAAAGGACTTCCCTTCCACGCTAAAATAAAGTTGTCTTACACAGATGAGAAGTTCTCAGGACCTGTACTTGTGGCTTAGCACAAGTCCAAGTTAGAGAGGGGTTAAAAGCTATGAGAAAGTCATCTAACATTATAATGTCATATAAAATGGTTGCTTCTGGTACTCCTGAAAAATGGTCTGATATGATGGTCTGCTCCAAATCTGCCCCTGCCCTGCTAATGTTGTTTACAGGTGCAGAGGTTTCACACAGCGAGAGAAAACAAGTGCTGTTGCTGCTGCCAGGAGGGTTGATTCGCTCTGGCGTGCAACCGCTGGTAGCGGTACTCGGTACTTGCTTGCAGTGCCACACCTCAGTGGTGATGCTCGAGCGAGAAAGGAGCATGTTTACTTCCCATCACTGCCAGGGAACATAACGCAAGGTGGCTCTGAGGTCCAGGGAACAGGGATACAAGACCTCTGCCACTCAGCACTGTCACCTCTGCCACTGAGCATAAGGGAAAGAAGTCATTTGGAAGTGAGTGGCACTTCAGGGCTTAAGCTGTCTTCTGCATGGGGCTGAGAGTTGTGGGTTGCTCTCAAGGAGGTGAAGCAGGCAGTTTTGGTTGGTTTTGCAGAAGCACCAGCTTGCAATTATTATATAAGAGAGCAGTTCCTCAGTTTGTTTTCAAAACTCACCAGCTGAATGGCAAAGTCCGTCTTCAGTATCTGCTGAGAGCAGCGGGGAGCATTTCTTGGCATCAGCCTGCAAGAAGCGTGTTAGGGTTACAGAGCTGCCACCAGCAGTGAGGGCCACCAGCAAGTCACTGCAGCTCCTCGGAAATCTGTGGGAGGCTCTGGGGAGTACCCAGGGCAAGCCTAACACCTACTGAAGGGGTGCCTTGGTCCAGGAGTGACACTGCCTCATGGCCCAGCACTAGGTTTGTGGCAAACCCTGCAGCCAGCCACCCCAGACCTGCCCGGCACATCACAACCCCATTCTCTTTCAGGCTGCTCTTTTGATCCAGAGAAGCCACAGCCAGACACAGGCTGCTCTTCTGTGTCCTCCTGTGGCTCTGGAGCTTTCCTCTCAGACTCCTCTGGGAAGTTCTGAAGGCTTCAGAGCCTGCCAGATTCCTGAGCAAAGTTCCTCAGGAGCCCAGGGAATGTGCTGGCTGTTCACAGCGATGCCCCCCGCTCCTTCTGCACAGCGCTGCACGGAGTTGCCTTGGAAAGGCTCTGCCTGCTCGAGGGTAATGGTGGGCAGTGAGCAGCTCCTACAAGGGGCCACCCTCACTTTGCTAAGTTATCTCACATCAGTACCCAAGGACAGGGGAAATGTAGCCGCTGCTTACCTCTGACTGGCACTCAATCAGACTCTCCATGTTCCCAGCATTTAGTGTCTTTGACTAGGCAAGAAAACAAAGATACTGTGTGGGTAATTGAATGCTGTGGTTTAGAAATCAGAGATTTTAAAAATCACTCTGTTGACAGAGCTGAAACAATAAAGACACTCACAGTATTACAGCTGCTTAACACTTTCATTAGGAGTTTGATCGGGGGAGCTCTGGATACTCTGGTTCCCTTCGGTCCTTTCGTTTGCCTGTTTATTGAACAGGGAACAGACAAAGAAAGAGCTTTGTAAAACTGCACCCTTCTCATCTTTCTGCAAGCCAGTCTAGCATTTAAGTATGACCCAGTAAGATATCCCACCCAAGTCAATCATAAAGCCCTTCTCTGGAAGGCACTCAGCCCTCCTGCCCTATCTCCCTCTTGATTAAAACAGAAAAAAGAAAAGCAGCTTTCCATTTTTAATCCATGCAAAAAATGAGCAAGTGGTGACAGCTACGTATGGTTGTTAATCTGCGAACCCAAGGCTAAGCGAGTCAGTCAGCTCTGCCCATGAGCTACACTCCGCAGTGGGCGCGCCTCTCCCTGTCTATATTTCTGTACATCTCTGTACAGCCGTGTCGGGAGCGCTCCACCAACTTCAACTGCGACAGCCCAGATTTTATCCCTGGCAGTACTTACCCAAGGAGTGAGTCCAGCCAGAGCTCCTTCACCTCCTGCGAACTGCAGAGGAAAGGAGAAACAGCATCACTCCCCACTGCTACTAATCCTTTGGAGGGAGGCAGGCGACTAAACAGTTCTACCCCACGTGTGCTGCCTTATATATGCAGAAGGGGCAGGTGGAAATTCACAGACAGGAAGAAGCATCATGGGGCAGGACTGAGATGTTACGAAATTTCTTTCCTCTTTCCTTTTAGAGGAGCTACTTTTTTTTTTTTTTTCCTTAAAGAAAAAAAAGAAGCACCCTTGTAGCTGTTATGGATGGAAAAGATGAGACACTTGCCAGGTAAAGGTTCCATCTAGCATCACCAGCGTGAGGAGGGATGTGCAGAGGGGGCTGCAGTGTGGGCAGCTTCTCCTTACCATTAAAGGGCAGTGGGTACAGTCAGTCCTTTGACTGCTCAGAGACCTTAGATTTTGCAGTTTAAAGACACACCACCAGATCCAGTTACACTAAAAACAGTTAAAAAGATTGGGGAGTGGAATAGCCAAGATTCAGAGAAATGTTTTTGTATATTTAAAAAATAAATAAATAATGGCACCAGTTTACTGTCTGCAAGCAGATGTAGACACACACTTTGCTGGTGCCAACTAGTTCTTGAGAATCTAAACACTGGATATGTATAGAAGTGATGTTATATAATAATTTCATAATGTATGACAATTTGTAATAAAAAGTCTTGCTTAAAATATGTCTTATTAAGAATTATGGGTCCAAGTAGTACAGTTTAATTCAACTGAAGAGATAAAAAAATCCAAGAAAAATCTACCTCTACTCTCCCTGTACCTCTTCAGCGTCTGTTGCTGACTCCCCCCAACCTGGGCACACCAGGAACATAAGGACAACAGTACTCACTCTACCAGGTCATTATGGAAATTCATTGAAGTTTGATGTTAAATGGATGATATTAGTTCTGCTGATTCATTGACAGAGCCAAATTAGAACCTAGTATTCTGGGTACCAGTCTTTTGATCAGGTGAAAAAGAGGGGCCAAGGCTGAGAGTCAAAGGGTTGGGAATATTTCAGCAGCAGATTTAGGTGGAAAACACGCTTGCAAAACTGTGGTCTCTCTGCTGCTTCCCCCGATGGATGCTCCATTTCACATGTGCGGGGGGCGAGGCTGTGTTGTAGCACAGCCCTTTGCAGACGCACATTACGGCTACATCCACTGCTGACTTCACCCTGAAAGCCATTCTTTGCTTAACCACATCAGACTTGGCCCATGTAGTATTGACCCTGGGCTGTCATGTGAAAGAGACAGGCAATCTCAGTTCAACTCTGGCAGAAATCCAAGGTGCAAAATTCACTTTTCATTAGACAGAGATGTGTCCAGAAGGTGAGCTGCCCTGCTTTTGTGGGTGGAGATGGTGTGGATGACCTTTCACTTCCTCCTGAGGCCTGTCATTTCCATGCTCCTGTAGAGACACTGAGCTGTAGACTTATTTAGGTCTGAAACTTACAGTAAATCTAAATCAATTGCTCTGCAGCTCTGTGCATTTACCACTGATCTTTTACTTACTACTGTAACTGGTTTTTTTGTTAATTAGCAGTCCCATGACATCTGTCATTTCTCTACTAAATTCCATGGCCCCATGTATGTTCTTGCAGAAATATTGTCATTCTGCATCACGTTTTCCTGAGAATTTTTTCCGAGGCTCCCTGGCAGCTGTAGCACCCTTCCTGATAGTCCCAGCAGGATTTCTGGGACAGGGGGCACCTATTTCTCAGTATGTCTCTAAAATGTGTATCTAAACATATCTGTCTGTTAAGCATCTCGGAGGCTTAGTAGACCTATGCAATTCAGTTCTACCTCGCCCTCACTTCCAGCACTGTCTGCAGATGTCACTTCTGAGCTCAGTCTGTGGCATGGTTAAGACACAGGGTTTGCTCTGGAAAATGTGCAACTCATGAAGAAAATGGGAGTTTAATGGGTGGTGATTAGTGGGACCAGAAGCTTAGATTACAAATAGGGCACAGCTGTACATGGGGCATAATGCTTTGAACTTCCCAGGAGGAAAAGATACAGTAATGGCTGATGTATTGATAGCACATCACCAGACTGTCCATTGGCACATACTGTTGTATCTCTATCTAATTAGATCCCATCCATTAACAGCTGTGGGGTTATAATGGCCATTGTATGTGGAAGGTATGTGTATAGGCCTGCCTGTCCATATGAAAAACAATTTGGGTTTGTTTTTTTTTTTTTACCTTTGTGGTACCATTCATTTTGTATAGCTCTTGTATGGTGTGTATGACAAACACTTAATTTTTGCCAAAATTACTTTAAAGCAGCTTATTTAATTATGAACAAACATGTTCCATCTGAATAGCAGGCATCCTAAAAAGCTATGGCTTGTCAGAGTAATTGTATGGTCACACAGAATGAAGCCTGGCTGGTTTTGTGAAAGGACAGCAGTAAGTGAGCATGTGCTGGCTCCTGTCGAGCACGGCAGAGCTGCCTACAGGGTCCCGAGGTCAGGAGAGCTGCTGCACCAGGTGAGCGAAGACAGGAGGTGCAGCACAGCATGAGATGCCCTCACACATACCAGCCAGAACAGCTTCACAGCTCCCTCCACCAGTGTGTAAAGGATAACACAGACGTAGCTCTCAAAGCCAATCTCCACACTGAGTATTAACAGAAAAGGCCCATTGTATGGGAAGTTTACAAATGAAGGTCCCTTATATGAACAGCTTCTTCTGTCCCTGAAGAGACCAATTCCCTCTCTATGACCCATCTCTGCCTTGCAGACTCAGAGCCTTTGCTATGGTCTGCCCCTCAGTTTGGTACAGAACTTATACCATGATGCCCCCAACACAAGAAAGACATGGACCTACTGGAATGCTCCTGGCTGGAGCACCTCTCCTATGAGAACAGGCTGAGACAGTTGGGGCTGCTCAGCTTGGAGAAGAGAAGGCTCTGGGGAGATCTTATAGTGGCCTTCCAGTACCTGAAGGGGCCTACAAGAAAGCTGGGGAGGGACTTTTTACAAATGATAGGATGAGGGGAAATGGCTTTAAACTGGAAGAGGATGGATTTAGATTAGATATTAGGAAGAAGTTCTTCACTATGAGGGTGGTGAGACAGTGGAACAGGTTGCACAGAGAAGCTGTGGGTGCCCCCTCGCTGGAAGTGTTCAAGGCCAGATTGGATGAGGCTTTGAGCAACCTGGTCTAGTGGAAGGTGTCCCTGCTGATGGCAGGGGGGGTTGGAACTAGATGATCTTTAAGGTCTCTTCCAACCCCAAACCATTCTGTGATTCTATGCATTAGAGCAATGTGTTCGTTCTGCCACAGTGGTTGCCCTAGGATGAGCACAATAGATGGCAGATGGCTTGGGCACACCTGGAGCTGTTTTCAGGTGATGTGTTTCTCCCAAGCCATCCCTGACCAAGTGAATGCGCTCTCCTTCAAAGACATGAGGACAATTACACAAAGATCAGGACACGGGAGAAAGGGTGGACTTACAAGGGTTTTGTAGCCTGTGTACGAGCTCTTCCCCTCCTGTACATCAGGTTGCTTCCCTCAGTTCTGCTGAAGTGCTTTGCATTCACTGGAGGGAAAGCAGAAGCAGGGAGGTCCCGCAGAGCAGCTGATCATGGGTAGATCCATGCCTCTCAGGACTGGGTTTGCTCCTTGAGGTGTGAAGTATTTTCCTCATAGAAGCCTCTGCTTCTTCCTGGGCCCAGGCAGCCCCTTTCCCCTCCCAGGCCATGGCTGCTTTTGTGGTCCACTCCCAAGCACTTTGCCCAGCCAGTTTTTGGAGAGAGGGGTTATATAGCACTTGCTGCTAACACAGACCAAAGAGTGATTTTCCACTTTCTGTGTGCTACAGCCAAGCTAGGTGTTTCCTCCTCTTTTCTCCTCTCTCCTCTTACACTGTGGCTCAGTGAAGGACTCCAGACTGCAGGAATGAAGGGGCAGCATCAGCTGGGAGGAGAAAGGAATCGGGAGCTGATAGTAAACAAAAGAACAAAAGAAATCTGCTGTGGCTGGAAAGCATATGTTTTTTTCTCTTCTTATTAAACCACAAATGGGAAAATCCCAGCCACAGCTCACTTTTGTTTATTTCTACTACTTTCACAAATGTTTGACATGATGGCTCTTAGAAATGAGGGAGTGTGTGAATGAATCCTGAAACCCGCCTTCACCCTGTTGTCACACTGGCAAGGACGCAGCAGGAGCGTAGCTGTGAGAAGGGTACAGCACGATGTGCCTGGAGCAGTGGCTCTTTCAAGCCCATATAGAGCAGAAAGAGCCTTCATCAGTGCCTCTCCATGTGGAAAAGGGGTTGTATTCCAGTGTTGTTTTCACTGGCATAACTGCGGTCTCCCCAGGGGACAATAGGAACGTTTACCAAAATAAGGAAAGCAGTTATGCCAAAGTCAGAGAGTTGTTGGGTGGAGTCTTTTTTTGGAAAGGAAGGCTCTGTGTGATCTGCATAGGGACTCAAAGAACAGGATGGCGTGTGGGT